AATTACACAATCTCTACAATAGTTATAAATCTTAATAACCATTAATGTTAATAAACGACATCTTTAAAACCTTATAAACGAATTTCGAATGGTTTTCCAGTCCTTTCACTGGAAGTGATATAAGTAATGCTTTTGGTTGCTTTCAACATTTAAGACTACCACGATTTGCAGAGAAGAATCAGAATTAGAAAGAATTAGTGAAAATACATTGGCCTGGAAAGAGAAATAAGCATTCTCCAATCTCGACAATACTTATAAATCTTAACAATCATTAATGTTAATACACAACATCTTTAAAAACTTATAAACTAAATTCGAAATGCTTTTCCAGTCCTTTCACTGGTACTCATAAATGTTATCCAGTCTTTAAAGACTAGGGAGAAGGCTACAATTCATCCATGGTTATTAGTTGTTATACATCTCCTTAAAGAAGTAATGTTTTAAGATTTCCACAATTTGCAAATGAAAACTGCCACTAGTAAAACAATGCCTTCTTATCTTTCTAGGAAAATCAACTCTTTGGAAGTAAACTATACATGCCTCTAGCTTCAATCAGTTCCACCTGAAATAATAACAATAAATACCAATCGATTGTTGCCAAGTTGACTATTTACATCAACCAATTAATATGAAGACCTTACTTCAGTTTATTATATCTAGAATGACTTGTAGAAATTTCCATAGGCTCTGATATATCTTTTCTAAAGACAAATAACTTTAGTGATTGATGGTTGTTCAACATTTAAGATTTCCACAATTTGCAAATGAAAACTGCCACTGGTAAAACAATGCCTTCTTCTCTTTCTAGGAAACTCAACTCATTGAAAGTAAACTATACATGTCCATAGCTTCAGTCAATTCCTCCTGAAATAATAACAATAAATACCAATCGATTGTTGCCAAGTTGACTATTAACTTCAACCAATTAATATGAAGACCCTACTTCAGTTTATTGTATCTAAAATGACTTGTAGAATTTTCCATAGCGTCTGATGTATCTTTTCTAAAGACAAATAACTTTAGTAGTTGTTCAACATTTAAGATTTCCACAATTTGCAAATGAAAACTGCCTCTGGTAAAACAATTCCTTCTTATCTTTCTAGGAAAATCAACCCATTGGAAGTAAACTATACATGTCCATAGCTTCAGTCAATTCCAGCTGAAATAATAACAATAAATACCAATCGATTGTTGCCAAGTTGACTATTAACCTCAACCAATTGATGCAAAACTATATATGAAGATCCTACTTCCGTTTATTGTATCTAAAATGACTTGTAGAATTTTCCATAACCTCTGATGTATCTTTTCTAAAGACAAATAACTTTAGTGGTAAAACAATGCCTTCTTCTCATTCTAGGAAACTCAACTCTTGTTGTACTGTTCACAGCTTCTGATATATCTTTTCTAAAGATAAATAACTTTAGTGGTTGATGGTTGTTAACATATTGCACCAGAACTTGCCCGATGTGAAATGTGATGTTCAGAGAAAAGTTATCTACACAAGGAAATAGAATAAGGAAGCAGTGGAGCATGTTCTTCATTAAGTTTGCATTCAGAACTATGTAGAATAAACAGCAAATCCAGTAAAGACGTTTCAGCTTAACTTGTAGCAGTTGATGTCACACTGACAGCTGTCACAATGACAGTTCACTCACTCACTCACACAAACGTAAGTGGCTGTAGCATTAGAACTACCGTTGCGTTAGAACTACCATTGCATTGGAACTACCGTTACTAGGAGCTCAGATACCTCCTCGCTACTCCTGGTCTCCTGATGCAAATCGAAATTTTAGGTCATTTTCGAGAATCAAGAGGGACTTGAGTTGCAACTTGCGAAAACCGCCGACACATTAAAGCTTAATAACTTTCTTATTAATGAACCAAAATTAATATATATAGTACCAAATGAAAGAGAAAGAATCATTCTTTAGAATTATAACTTATTATTAACATTTTTTTTAGATTTGTCGCAATATCTTCATTTTTTTTAATTAATCTATTAGTAATCATGTTAAATAAATCATTATATATGCAATTTAGAAAAGAAAAGTATGACCTATCCAATGAGCCAATTTACAGATTTGTGATGTAAGTCATTCGTCTTCTATGAATATTTTTCAAATGTTATTTATGCAATAAAGAAGTTTTTTCATACTTTATTATTTATAAATCTACATAATAAAAATAATTATTCAATTTAGATATCAAAAATTGATTTATATTTATACTAACTTGTAAAGTAAAACAGGTTTACAATGTCAAAACTTACATGAAATCTATATTTATTTATAAGTGGAAAGACATATAAAAATATTATAAATAGAGCAAAGAAATAGAGTGAACGAATTTCGAATGATAAATGGATCTGAAACGCGACACAAACATGTTCCAATTTATACTTATTATAAAATACATTCGACCCATTTCAAATACAATTCATTTTTCAATTTAGTTACAACATTATCATCTGGTAATTCGTGTAACATATATTTTTTTTTAGAAATTCAATTTATTTTAATTGCCTTCTAAGAAACGATAATTTCTACATTGTTTTTAATAAATGTCAGCAATATAACTAAAATATTGCTGCTGACTTTCTCTTGGTATTCAAGAGAAGAACCATAAAGTTGCAAAATCTTCGATAATGAAGTTTTGAAAAAAAAAAACGTGTGTTTGTTAATTGATTATAATTTTTCTTTTGCAAACATTAAACACCCCGTATCAATTTGCATACATATTAAAATTGGAATAAAAGTAAATCAACGATTTCGAAAACACGTAAATTGCGTCGCGTAACGACTTCCGCCCGAACCGACTTCAAGCTCATGTCCATCTCCATAAGTTTTATTTCTCCAAGAAGTGTCCAATTCTTTTTGTACCTAGATGATTTGCGGCTAATCAGATCCTCGCGAAATCACGTTTTCCCATAATACTAATAATAATATTCAAGCAACAAGATTGTTTCGGTCTTTACGAGCGTTTAATGATGGAAGAAAGTGGCTCCGTTTTAATTGGTTCTGCTCCATGCTTTTATGATTAGTCTTCAACATCAACATCAGCAGCAGAAACGAAGAAACAGCAACAAAAAAAACTAAAAAAATAAATAAAAAATATTCACCGGTCCTTACTTAATTAATACATCGAACGTGCGTTTTCCATAAAACCGTAATTGCAGCGCACAGTTTTACGACGCCCAAAGCGTTTCATTTAAATCAATAATCCCTCCAGTTTTGTAAAAAGGATTTTCTACCATCATCATCATCAGCTTGAAACCTGATTTCAGGTGATCGCGATTATTATTATCGCAACAAGATGATCGGTAATTACGCTGTTTAATAATTTAATTTCGCTTTACAAAATACCTGTTAAAAAGAGAAAAACAAACAAAGTTTTAAAACCAGTAATCTGCGCCTCTCAAACACGAAATACATTGAATAACAACTAGTTCATTTAAAACGTTAAATTAATTAATGTTTGCAGTTTTTATCACTTCTTCGGAAGTTTCCTATCATTTCCAAGTAAGCACACAAAGTTAACGTCAAACATCTCATAAATTATTGCATTGCTTATGTAATTTGTTAAGGATAAACAATATAAACTTTAATAAACTATGAAATTATAAGTTTTATACAGTAAACACACTTATTAACAGTATTTTAAACACATTTTTTTTTAGCAAATCTCCAGTTAAAATTTATTTAAACATCACCGTTTTATCGTGTATAAATAAATACGAAATTGCGTATTAGCATATTCATAAACGATGAATCATTCGTTTTTCGTATACAAAATTAGGCAATTAATCCGAACAAAACCGCAAAAAAAAATTGTGGTTTTTTCTTGTAATATTTACGTCCGAGGAAACTCCTTTTTTGGCACTAAATAACTCATCTCTTTGGGTATTTAGTATGCAGATTAGTGCTCCGAAAGTATTACAAATTTGGCGTCTTTTGTTCGGTTTTGTCCAACGCCGTTGACAAAAACAGTTACCCGAACAAGAATTCCGAAAACGAGCCAAAAACGATTTGCATATAATCGGCTTAAATGTTGACTTCTTCGCACTGATTCATCCACGCTATTTTCGTATACACACACAGTTTACTTGAAATAACTAAAAAAGAATATTGTGTTTGAGATTTTGTAAATATTAAATTATTTAAAATTATAGCAATTGTTAATTTAATAAAAAAACAGTCAATTATATTAATAACATTTAGTATTTTTATCTTATTTCTATCAATATTAATTACGTTAATCAAAGTATTTAATGAATAAATAACATTTCAATATTTGAAATTGTGTACTTGCTGCGACATCTGTGAATAAATACTTAATTAAATAACATCAAACAGTATTTAACATATGCAACCAGTCGTTATTACGTAATTATTAATAAACGTATTTGCATATGGTAATAATAAACTATGACTGTACGAGATTAGTGTTACTTGTTTTTTTTTTCTTTTTCTCTGTTAGCATTGTAACGAGTCTAATATAACAAGCAGTAATTACCGTTTTGCACGTGTGAATTTTAAATAAGTCTGTTATTAAGAAATTACATGTTGCTGTTAGTTCATTCGCGAATTGTGTAATGGAAATGTCCATAAAAGGAAGCAGAGTCTGAATGTGATGACTGTTGCTGGCGCAATTAGCATACATAAACTCGTTGAAATTAGTATCATTAACATGTTTATTGTGTCACGATAGAATAATTTGAACTTAAATTATTTAATTTAAATATCAAACGCTTATTTGGACATGCTTTTAATGTGTTTTGCAGATCTCGAGATTATTAGTAGTAATATAACATTAGTTTTTTTATTGTCTTGTTCATAATAATTATTTCTATTTTAAGCAGATTGTGGAATAGATTTCATAATTAATGGAATTGTTCAAATTAAATTATTTAATATTCTAGAATGATAAATAAAAAGTTTAAATTATTTTCAAGATTATTAGAACTACTGTTTGATGTTGTGGTGCCATCTGTGTGTTTTGATCTGAAGTTGATGGTGAGGTCTCTGCAGTAGGTAAAATTTCTTGCACTTATTTACATTGACAAAAGTTCATTTTCGTGTTGCAATATTTTGGTCAGTAAGTTGTTATGTAAATCGCTCCATTGAGCCCTTATTTATAGACACGTGCCCTGAAGGTAGATTTCTTTCCTTATACAAAAAAAAACATGGATCAATCGGCGTTGAATATGGTGAGTTTTCTTTGGATTTTGTGAACTGGGTCAATAAACAAATACATTTTGTGTAGGCGCACCAACAACAGAGGAGGGCTGAAGCTCACCTGAGGCATGCCAGATTTATGGAAGCTATAGAATGCCACCAGTTAGCTGCGAATCATCTCTTCGATGCCCTCCAATGCACGCAGAATCCTCAATCTGTAGATTCGATTAATTTGCAGAGAGATTACCACTTGCGTAGGAAGGAAATCATACTGGCAAAGAAGGAGCAGTTTGAGAATTACAAGAAGGCTATAGAGAACCAGAGGAACAGGATAACGTTCTGCGGCAGCGATTTTGAGGTGACCAACGATAACCAGAGCACGTCGCTGCAGGTGGCTATTTACAGGACAATGGAGGAGGCTGATTCTCTGCTGGGGCAGCTGTTCAAGAGGAGCAGCGGAGGTAATAGCGACTGCGAGAGTTTGAGAAGCTTCTCAACCACTGACACAGATGACAAGGTTCTGTCTATAGATACGTTAGACTCGTCGAATCCATCGTCGCAGCCTATTTTAGGTAGCAAGCATCCGAAACACGAGAACACCGTTATCGAGGAACTGCGAACGCTCAACGAGCAGCTTCACTCTCTGGTTTACAAGTTGGTCACGCAGCTTGATGCCAGCACCACCGAAGTGGACATGCTGAAGGCAAAGATACAGAAGTTGGAGGCCAAACAACAAACAGGTAGTTTATAGCGTTGCCTTTGCTTCTCCATTTACATGCAGAATGTTTGTTTGTTTTTTTGATTATTATAATGTTTATTGTTATTTACAGCTCAGACTAAAACCTCCGCAACTAACAGCCTTAAAGTTATAACAGACTCATCAGGCGGCACGTCGCCTTACGTCTTCTCTCCGTGCAGCGAGTTCAGTCCGGATGTGAACGATCAGAGATCTTCCCTTCCTCCCTTGGCTCCCCTAGAAATGCCCGCTTTCGACTTTAACTCCTTCGTTAAAAACAACACTTATCCTCGTCACGAATACCAATAGCACTGATCATCTAAACATTAATAAATATACATGCATAATCTCTTTCAAGCTTAATCCCACACGAGCTGTAAAAAATAATCGATGTATATACTTGTATAAAGCTTATTTTTTCTATATATATATACAATTATTTGTACTTAAGTTGTCATTCGATATTGTTTCGTCGTTAAATTAAGTTAATAAAGAAAGGGAAATATAATTAAACTCGTAATTACTTATTAAATGATTTAGTTTTGGGTATTTTTGTGGTTCAACTCGAAACAAATTTTATAAAATAACATTTATATTTATTTACATTACATATCTTGTACACAGAATAAAATCATTTCCTGAACGCACAGTACAGTACACAGTAGTAGTCATCTAAGAGGTACCCTCATTTATTCACATTAAAAAAATAATAGTTCTTTGGTGTAGCGAAAACATGAAAGTAATTCATAACGATCGAATTAAAGCGGATTATTTTATAACACGACGAGGACTAGATTATTATTATAGAAGGCGCATATCACATAATAAGTTTGTGCAAATAACCAGAGATACTCAGGAATGAGAGAAACGAAACGGATGCACTCGAATTCTCTCTACTTTCGTTTTTTCTTTTTTTCCATCCATCGACAGAAGCTAACGGAACATCGGAATTGGACTAAGAAATTGGTATATATGTAATACTTCGTCTAGGACAAAGAGGGAGGAATTTACGGTTTTCAGGGGGCGTATGGAGGTGGCGGCACGTTGTACGGTGGTGGAGGTGCCGGCGAATTGAAGGCTTCGAAACCCTCCTCGAAGCCGTCGATGAGGCAAGCGTCGTCACTGCCGTCTCCACCGCTGTAGAGCTCAGGAGAACTCGTGTGCATCAGGATGAGCGTGCAGAAGGTTCCGATAACAGCAACGCCTCCTTTAAATTTAACCCAATCAACAACAACAAAGTTATAACAACAGGTCATTTAGTAGCACTCACCTGTCGCAGTAATCAGGTAAAAACCGTACCCGTAGGTCACGGAAGTATCAATCTTTGGATACAAATCATCGAGCGAGTCTTCCAATAGCACCGCCACATAATAGCAAGTACTTATTATTGCCATAATCCACATCACTGCAATAAAAATATAATTAATCATATTTTTCAATACAGATTTAACAATATGAAACCTGTAAAAGTACTGGCCAAAGCGTATTTTCTTATGAAGAAGTACAGATAACTCTTAGGTCCAATAACATCTAAAAAGAACCCAGCCAACGAGAAGATTATGGCCATGAAGCATAGCAGAATTATGATCCTCATCATATTCACTATTGTGCTGTTGATGCAATCAAACTCTGAAATAATATTTATTAGAAATCTCGTTTAGAATAAAATCATAATTATTACCTGGAGAAGCAATATTATTATCAGTATACCCAAACCAGAAGAATTGGCTGAGAGTGAGGTAAGATGCACAGACTCCACCGTAGATTGAAAACCATTTGAGCTCAACCATGGACATGCTGATGAGGGTAATTGTGATCATGTGGAAGGCAGCGGATATGAGGTTCCTCTCCTGGCTCTTCGGGTGCACCCATTGCAGTATGTGATTCATGAAGTTATTCGTGATTCTCGACGCCATCGCTCACTTGGCATTTAATTCTGTCTCTGGAGCTCAACTAAAATAGTGAGGAGAAAATATTTTTGAAAAAATGTTAAGTTTTCTCGTGCATTTATTAATAGAAGATAACAAATGAAAGTCAAGTGAAAACAGTTGAAAGGTAAGTTACCAGTTATCTCTTGTAGATGAATCTGCCGAGCTTTAAAACATTATTCTTCTTATACGTTTTTAACTGGGAAATCTTCAATAATTCTCGATCCAACAGAAAAACAAACAATAAACTAGACAATAAACATGACTGCTTTCTGGCTCGTCCCTCTGACGGATCAGCTGACGATTGTAGATTCCTACACTACCATATTCTCATTATACAGAGTGTCCTTTTTATTTGCTGAAACTTATATTGTTTTCTAATTAAATCACGCACATCAATTGTTTAATATAAAATTTATAATAATTTTAATAATTCTACTTGTTTATTTAAAAATTTAAAATTAAATTTTGTGATGCTTTCAAATTTGAACGCGAATTACAGCCAAACGGATAAATCCACAGAAGTATATGAATACTCGTTACATTCCCCAAACATTCAGCTTTCATATGCATCTTTTGGATTAATTCTATATATTATACTTTTCGAGCAAATCAATGAAATGTGAAAACACTGTTTTTTCCAGCGTTATTTCAAATTTGAAGGTGAATTACAGCCAAACGGATAAATC